ATGGTATCAGCTATTGTCATTGCCAGCCCTCACAAAAACAGAGCCAGTGTTTCAAAAGTAATTATAGAAAGATAAAGCAGTTAGTAATCCACAGAATTTCACCAATTCATAAAAAATATGCAAGAAATAACGTTCATTGATTGAAATTCAAAACAAAAATGGTCAAAGTGAAATCCTAACAGTTCATCAAGAAAAGGAAAGAGGGTGATATTTCCCATTAGTTATTTAAATCAGATAAAATAATACCAACTGAAAGGACAAAAGTGCAAGCCTGGACATTTCTCCAGGTATCCTAAGAAGCAAAACTTTACATGGCAAATATGCCCAGATTAGAATATATCGGAGAGGGAATGCAACATTGACATCTTTCAGAAAACTTAATCTATCTCATCCTGGGAAAAGCTGAAGCTACTCCATATGACAGCTACTGTCAAGTGTATTATGAACTTCATCTGCAAGCTGCCAGATGCTCTATCTTGTAACATGAAATTAAAAGCAAGGCCTATATAACAGCAACACTAACAACTTAATTATTAACACAGAGACTGCATTCATTATCTCTGTAGGTAGTTAGACCGTAACTGAAGCATACTGTACCATAACGAGATAAACTTAAATTTTTCAGTTTGAATTATAAAGTGCTATTATTCCTTCTCTGGTTTTTGTTGCTGTTTTTTTTTAATAATTAGACCTGAATTTCTGTACAGTACCTGAAGCTACTTTTGCTGTAATAACAATTATGCCCTCAATAACAGATTTTTCAAATTATAAAGAATGTAAACATTATACATGGGCAACAATTTCTAATACAATACCTTTCCTTTCAATCAACATTCAAGGACACTTTCTTATTCAAGAACAGCTGCAATTAGATTGTTTGATAGGGCTTTGCTTGTTTATTTTTGAGAAGTAGCCTACAAACATATTTTATTAGCCAGAACACATTCTTCTGATCTGCATCTTGATGTCTAGGTACACATTTTTTACTTCAGAACTCCTGCTGCCTGACTAGCAGTTGCTGTTATCACAGAATCACAGAACCACTAAGGCTGGAAAAGACCTTTAAGATCATCAAGTCCAGCCTATGACCCAAGACCACCACATCAGTTAGACCATGGCACTTAGTGCCACATCCAGCCTTTCCTTGAACACATCCAAGGACGGTGCCTCCACCACTTCCCTGGGAAGTCCATTCCAATGTCTAATCACCTTGTCCGTGAGGAAGTACTTCCTAATATCCAACCTAAACCTCCCCTGATGCAGCTTCAGGCCATGCCCTCTTCTCTTGTTGCTAGTTGCCTGGAAGAAGAGCCCAGCCCCCACCTGACTACACCCTTCCTTCAGGTAGCTGAAGAGAGCGATAAGGTCCCCCCGAGCCTCCTCTTCTCCAGGCTAAACAGCCCCAGCTCCCTCACCCTATCTCTATAAGACTTTCCCTCTAGTCCTTTCACCAGCCTTGTTGCTCTCTCCTCTGGACCTGCTCCAGCACCTGAATATCCTTCTTGAAGTGAGGGGCCCAGAACTGCACAGAGCACTCGAGGTGAGGCCTCACCAGTGCTGTGTACAGGGGGAGAATTACATCTCTACCCAAGAACACACTTATCTAAAATGTTAACATTCATTTACAGTTACAGAGTTTCAAATAACTTCTGTAATAAGAGAACAGATAACACCAAGAACAGTTAAGGTCAGACTCAGAAAACAGAGAGAGACAAATGAGGAGACAGAAAAGGAAAAGAAGCACGAGGCAGGTTCATCAGCAAAATTTCTACCTCACCATACAATATCTTCCCAATGTTTGCATTCATTAAGAAGATGTGGGCAGTGCCCACAATTAACTGACAGAACAAGCACAAAGTCAAGAGGTAAAAAACAGAGGTCTGTATCTACATTAAAAGCAATGTATGCAGTTGCCTCAGCTTTTCCCTAATAGAAAGTGACTAACTCAACACATACATTTGCATACGCATTAGCAGAATCCTCATCTAAACCAGCAGCACTTTTCTGAAGGTTCCCACCTGTAGGAGCAAGGATCAGAGAAAGTGCATAAGCAAGGTCCTGGAAACAGTTGATTTCTAAACCACTAAACAGTCCAGACCCTACCTGATCAAACCAGTTGCTGTGCCTACAATTTTTCAACAGTGCTTCCATTGCTAGAAACTACTATTAGGAGTATTTTAGAAAAAATAACTGCTAGCATAAGTAGTCTCTGAACACATATCTGTAGATAAATACTATGCAGCTACATAGCTGCTCTACTTACTTGAGCATTATTCTAATACTTAAGATGTTAGCTTAGGTCTTAACATACCCTGAAAATATGCTGTGTATGTGAAATCAAATGTTAACCCTATCATATATTAAAACATGTTAAACAGCAAACATTCTTATTGACTGCCACCAGGATAAAGTGTTTCTCAAGAAAACATGTTCCAACGACATGGAAGCTGGACCACTGAAGAATGAATTTCATTGCATAAATGCATCAGAACACCATAGGATACCCACAGACTCAAAGTAAATTGTTGCAAAATCTTGGAAGACTTGCACTGACCTGACTTGAAGATGATGTTCTTCCTTCCATGATTTTCTCTAGTGAAAAAGATACAAAACAAGCTTAGCAATTTGTGTCTTATTTATTCAGAGGAAAGCATGACCACAGTAGCAGGCACTAAGTGAAAATCAGAAAATTATTTTTAAGCAAGCTATCTCAAAGAAAACTCACTAATAGAATGGCTTGGGTTAGAATGGAACTTAAGAGATAATCTAGTACAAGCACCCTGCTATAGGCAGGGACATTTTAACTAGATCAGGCTGCTCAAAGCCCCATCCAACCTGGCCTTGAATACTTGTGAGGCACCCACGACTTCTCTGGGCAACTTGTTCCAGTGTTTCACCATCCTCATAATAAAAAATGTCTTCCTTATGCCCAATCTAAATCTAACTTCTTTCAGCTTAAAAGCATTACCCCTTGTCCTGTCACTACAAGCCTTAACAAAAAGTCATTGACAGCCACAATACAAACCAGACACATGCTTAGGCAAGGCTCTGGATTGTTGGTGTGGACAGAATTGTTAATAAAATTTTCACTAGGATTTATCCTTAGTGAAGGCATTTAACTCCACCCCTGGGCAAGTATAGAACGAATAGGCTATTCAGACTTTGATTATAAAGTGAAAAGGAACCACAGAACATATCTGTAACACTACAGGAGCTCAAATAATAAATAAAATTTGAGAATTGTCGTTAACAGGTAAACTTCTTGCACAGGGGAAGAACACAGCTGCAGAACTTCCAGCATCCATTCTCTTTATAATATTCTGTATAACTCCAGTGCAAGACCTTCAAACCTGACAGCTAACGTGAAGCCTCTCAATAAGATCTTTAAGCCCGTGTACTTTCACTCCGCTCGGCCGCTTTTCATGGCACAGCCCCAGCCCCCCGGTGCGGGGAACAGCAACAGCTCTCGCCTATCGGGAAAAGCCAAAGCCCTGCCCGCTCTGCCGCCCGCAAACAGAGGCAAAGCTGAGGGAGGCCGCCTGCTGACAGCTCGGGGCCGGGGGGAGGGAGCAGGGCAGCCCCGCACTGTCACCGCAGGGGCCCGCCCCGCGCTCCCGCTCCTCCGGGGCCGCCTCCTCCCGCGAGGAAGGGACCCGGCGTCTCACCGGCAAACGAACAAGCGCCGAGGGGGCAGCAGCCCCGCGTTCTCACCGTCCCTCCTCAGCCT